TCCCCTCAGCAGTGTACTTCGGTCCTTCTGCCTGCTCTGCTCCCTGCTCTGGCTCTGGTGAATTCTCTCACCCTCCCACGCTTCTGACTGTACCCAGTGCTTGTATAAATAAATAAATAAATCTAAAAAATTTTAAAATAAATAAATAAATAAATAAATTTAAAAAAATGGGATGGGTCCGCGAAAAACATTATGATGCCTTACAGTGTAAACCTTATGATGAACTTAAAAGGTTTTAACACGAGTTAGGTGAGGGTTTGAACAGAGAGCAGCCTGGGGATGTTGTCAGCATGAAGCAGCAAACATTTTATTTTTCTTCTTTTGGGTGACGGAGAATGTGCACCTGTAAAGCACAAGATGACAGGAAGCAGCACACAGCAGGGCGCAGTGGCTGGCATGCTTGCAACTGCTACAGGAGACAGGTCATTTCACAGTGCACTACAAAGCCTCAGTGAAATCTGAAACTGATACTTGAAGTCCCTGGGCCCATTCCAGTGTCTCCACCCCTTTGCGTGGAGTGAGGAACAGAAAAAGTTGGCAAAGCCATACTACAAACCACGAAGGGTGGTGATGCACAGGTCAGTTATAACAAACTATTCCTGTCTCAACATACATAAAACAATGTAATCCTAGTAGGAAAACTAGTCTCTGTCCAGAAATAACATAGATTATTCATGAGTTCTGATTATGGTTACTGTTTTATACCAAGATAAAAATCCACGAGAAGTACTGATCTAATTTTTACTGAGCCAACACCCTGGATCAGATGTTATACAAGTGGAGGATACTTGCTTTTTTTTTTTTTTTAATGTATTGAAACTTGGAAAGAAAGATTATTATTTCCTTCATCATCTTGAAAGACTACAATATGATTTGGCTATTAGGATTTACTAGTTTGAGAAAGCATTGTTATACCTTAGGTATTCTAGGGAGCCTTCAAAACAGTTTGTGTTTAGAAGAATTTCACATTCAAATTTTAAAATCCACCACTATAGGAAAAAGGTGATATTGCACCACACCAATAATTCTCCAGCTTGTTAATCTAATGCAGCTCTTTAGTGGGTCTTAGATCTCACCCAATATCTTGCTGAAAGTATGACTTTCCTGAAAAACATATTTTGATTTGGATTTGCCATGGTCATTTAAAATTAAGTTACTCTGAGATTCTCTAGCCCACCTTCCTCTAGGCATTCCTTTAAAGGAAGAGCGCTTAGGTGCAAGGTTCCTGATGCAGAAAAGGGGTGACTCACTGTCCAGTTTACCACTGACTGCGATGATTAGAACAATGGGGTTCAGGCTCACACTGCAATATTATCTAAGGCCATGACTCAAAGGCAGCAAGGCAGTCGGTGTTGAGAAATATAGAGTGAGTCTGTCCCCATTTGTGTCAAAGATACACAAATATGAATGATACTATGACTATGTCCTTTTTATTAATCAGAGAACAGTCAGTGCCTGGCTCATACTATATGCTCCAGAAATTTTTACCGAGTAAACAAATGAATGCACACCCCTGAAACTATTTGTAGATTCACACATGTGAACCTCTCCTAGAGGTAGAAAGGGATGATGATATGCTGAAAGGAGAGTCTCTCAGGGCTACAGTACTCAGTCCTAGTCAGAGCTTCTAGAAGTCACATGCACAGGGAAGCCGGAGTCTGTAGACTAACCCCAAATGCGCCTACGACTTTGGAAGTCAACCTGTTTGCCAGAGTTATAGGTACTGGGTTTTAGACATGGGCCTTAACTTAGGAATTAGCAACTACCCACTTGACCAGGTGCTGCTTGAGGGTAGAGAGCACATCTGTGGTTATACGACATACCCTGCCCATAGCACAGCACCTGGCACGGGCACAACTCAGCTGGTATTTGCTGAAGCAGGCAAAGCGACACACCTTTCCCAACACGCAGCCACCAAAGTGCCTCTGGTATTCCTCCCAGTATTCTACCCCAATTCCACACCATGAATACATATTCAAAATTCCTAATTCTCAGAGGCAAACACTGGCGCAGGTAAAAGTACTAACACTGGGTTTTCTATTTCAAAATGTGTAATTTAGGTTATTTGGATGAAGGGGGGGGGTAAGGGAGGGGGGAGTGAGCAGGGAAGCTTAAAACATTAGAGAAATGTGAGAAACATTTTCTTTCTTTTAAAGATTTATTTATTTATACAAGCACTGGGTACAGTCAGAAGTGCGAGAGGGTGAGAGAGTTCACCAGAGCTAGAGCGGGGAGCAGAACAGGCAGACCGATGAAGTACACTGCTGAGGGGAGCAGCGGGCACGGCAGGAGAGGTCTGCGCACCATGTGGGACCCTCCCCGTGGCTGGGGATCAAACTGGCCTGCGTGGCAGAGGCTGCGGGCAGCTTTGCAGCACAGCGCTCAACCACTGCGCTACTGGGGAGGCCCAAAAAGAAACATTTTCTTAAAACTACAGTAGACTGACAAGATGGTAAAGTACAGGCCACAACCCAAGGGAAAGCTGGCATCCTGAGAGCTAAATGACCACAGAAACTGCACTGACCCAGGGAGTTTGCTAGAATCGGAAAGATGAACTTTGGTTGCAGTGGCTCTCTGGGGAGATGGGCCCCACAACACAAAGCCCAGAGCTCCTGCAAGAGGAGGAGAACTTTCCTATAAGCTAAGATTCCACAGGACTCCTGATGCTGAACTGGAATTGGGCCAGTCCTCTTGCAAAATTACAGTCGGGATTATAGTGGGCTAAAGTACAATCGTCCAGGAGCCTTAAGCCTTGAAATGGCTTAAGCTTAGAACTGGACCTAGACTGAGAATGGTGTTTCCACGTGGGAATTCCTTCACAGTCTTTCTTGGGAAATATATGTTTTTCTCAATCTATGGAAAATTGCCTGAAAAATGCAGAAAACGGGAGAAAAATACTCTAATTCTCCTTTGAGAATAAAGCTTAACAGTAAATGCAGGCTTGAAAGATTCCACTGATGTCAAGTTGAAAGCAAGAGCAGAAAATACTGACACACAAAGTAAAAGACTAAGGTTGACCAGGACAAGTATACACAGGAGAAAGGTAATCAGTATCTAATCAGTTAGTTTTGCCAGGAGCTGTTGCTATGCTGTAAGTGTGTTTATAAGGGTGTGTGTCTGTGGCCTAGGTGCTGTGAACAGTGAGTCATTCTTGAAAATGAAATAAGTTCAGTTTATTTGCACAGTGCATTTTACTTAAACATTAATAGGTGATAACCTCAAGTTTTAGAAGTAAAATAAATCTTAACTTGCTATTCTGACACATGATTCTATGTTGTATTATTAAATCTTGATCAAAGAGGCTTACAGAGTAAGAACATTAGCTAATTATTAAAATAGTCCAGAAAAAGGATAAGTTGAAGAAAAAAGAACAATTTTGTCACCTACTACCAGTTCAATTAATCCACAGACCCACTTAAAAACACTGCATAGTGTTCTTAAGCATAGAAGACAGGACAATTCTGTGGAACGCTATTAATTCAGAAAAGTGTCATTACTGAGAAATTCCTGCTATCTGGGAGACTTTTGCTCTAGCTTCTGTATGTCTAATGCAAGAAGTGTTTACAAATATATCTAGAAACTTACAGCTATGGAAGGTGACAGGGAATCTTGGAATGGACTGTGCCTTTGGGGTGTAATGCTGGGACAAGGTTCCCTCAGAATTCCTTCTCAGGCACTGAAGTCATCAAGGCACCTGACATTCTTCCAAGAGTTCAAGCGCTTGTATTAAATGAACACTTCTTTGAGGACGTCTAAGCACTCCCCTTGGGCTTTACCCTCAGAATAAATAATGCTGCCGCCAACCCAGCTCGGCACCAGTGAGCCAGGGGCCAGCTGCTGAGCTGTTCCCTAATCTGGCCAACTGAACTGGTCCCAGGACCCTCTCCCCCTGCTGCACCTTGAGTCCGAGTCCCTCAGCACTGTGCCCACTTGCATGGCCAACCTCACCTGAGTATATTTTAGAGGTTTCCTTTCTTTCTATAAAACCATCTGCTTTCCATGTTTCAGAAAACTAATTTCTGTCCTTCCACTAATACTGTTTCTTGTTGGAATTTTTTATTTTATTTTTTCATTCGCTATTAGGAATTTAAAGTAGAAGGTGAGGTAGGTCTGTGTGCCTGGTCGGCCATCTTGATCTGGAGTGTCTAGGCCACGGTTCTGCTTCCATCTCTTATCAATATCCTGCAGCTCCTAGATCCACAGATTTCTTTTTATTGGTTACTTTCCTGATGACACACTAGGTTCAGAGTTCTCTGCCACAAATGCCCAGATAACAGCGGTCATGTTCTCCTTGGGCCCTCCACAACTGCGGCTGCCTTGTTTGTTTCCTCTTCCTACTTTATAAATTCTTTTCCCTATGAATCTGGAGAATAGGAAAGAAATCTCCAGACTGGTCATCCCCAAGGAAGGGACAGAATTTGAATTTTTGAATGTGTAAACTATAGTGGTTAAAAAACAAGAGCTCAAATCCCAGCTCCTTTGGCAAGTTACTTAATTTCCACAAATATTAATTCTCACCCATAAAGTTACTCAGGTACCTTCAGGAAGGCTGTGAAGACTCTTTGTAGAAGTACTGATAGATGGTAACGAATGCTTATTAACAAGTTAATATAATTTATTATTGTCATTACTGAAACCTTATCCCTGGATCACAAAAATAGAAGCAGCAGTTTTATCCTGAGTCTCAGCTTGGAAGTCTTTAGCCCTGAAAGAACCTGGTTAAAGAATGTTCTATTTAGGGACTTCCAATTTATGGGAGCCATAAATGTCAATGAGGTTTGAGCTCAAATTCGAGATCAAATGAAGGCAGAAGGCAATAGTGGCCAAAGTCTACCTCGCAACAGAGCCATCTACTTCTGATAGAAATGAGGGCATGAAAAAAGTAAACCATTCTTTTAATTGTCAATCAAAGACAGTAACCTATTCCAAAACACAGGTAGGCTGCTACCTGAACTTGTGGGCATCAAGAAACAGGTACGCATTATCTCCTCGTCACTCACCTCTAAGGTGCTGGAGTTCCATATTCAAACTTTCGATGTTACTCTCGTAGAACTCAAGATTTCCTAGGGTCTCTGTCCTTAATGAGTCTACTTGCTTCTCGAGCATTAAGTTTAGCTTTTCCTGAGCCCTGCTATACACATCCAGGTCCCGCTCCATTTCCTGAATCCTCACCAATACTAAGGGGCACGGAGGAATTTGGTCCAAACTCTTTTCCATATTCTCTGGGCCCTCCTTTCTTAGGGCCTCACAACTAGGGTGGTGAGTAGCTAGGAGCTTGGGGGGTACAGCATTCGCCTTCTGCTGTGCTGCCGGAGGCAGGGGAGCTGGGCGAGAGGGTCGCACTGCCAAGGGCAGCTCAGGCTTCAGGTTCTGGTCACCCAGCCCATGGGGAGAAGGGGATGCTGGCATGCTGGGCCGAGGAGGTGGTGGCCTCAGAGTCTTTCTCCTCCCAGGCAGCTCATGCTGGGTAATCAGCTTTGAGGAACCTTGGACAACATCCCTCTCAGAGTGAAAGTCCATGAATGAAAAGTGGCGCGAAGTTGCATCGGTTTCTGTGCCGGGCGCTGACACACTCTTCTCAAACTCCAGCAGCTGCTGCGTCAACTTAGAATCCAGGTCGGCATGGCCATCTCCCTGGGAAAGTGAGCGTGCTTCCCTTGTGGGCACCCTGTCGTGTGGACCTGGCTTCAGCTCTGATTTCTCTGATGCTGAGTAAAAGCTGGAAGCATTTTCTTTGGGTATGTGGTACTTTTTAGCACACCTTGCCGCACTCTGGGGCTGAGGACTCAACTGGTTGGGCCTGACTATCCCTCCAGAGGGCAAGAGGGAAGAGCCGCTGTGAAGAGGAGACAAGGGCTTCTGGAGGGTGCTGGGCAGGGAGTATGTTCCTCTGGGAGGGAGGCTGAAGTAGTCTCGCATCTGCGCTTCCCGGGGAGTGGGGTCAGGGTACTGGTGTGGGCGTGGAAGGCTCCCGCCTGCTGGAGAGTAACACTGGGGCTTCTGCAGTGTGGGGTGGAGAGGTATCTGAGGTTGGGTGGGAACACCATTGACTGCCTCTGAGGCAACCTTCATGGAAGAGTCTTTGGGATGAGGCTGTTCATGCCCCACACCTGGGCTTCTGGGGGGCCCTCCTGAGGTGCCCCCATCCTGATGAGAGCTTTTATTTACTTCATATTCAGAAGTCAGATGCTCTGGGGAAGAAGTGAATGCTTCAGAAATAACACAGTTAGGCCTTTCTGCCTCATACTCATGAGATTCATGTCTCTTTTCCTCCATTACTAAGGTGTTTTCTGAATAATCCAAAGATGTTTCAGGGATACTTTCCTGCGGCAGATCCACGGTTTCTTCCACCCTTGTTTTAGGACATAGCTTTACAAACCGGTAAGGAAAAATGCCTGTCCTGCCCCTCAGTGATCCTTCTAGCCAGCCATCTTCCAGGGTCCCCAGGATCTGGATCTTATCGCCTACTTCAAAGTCTAGCTCATTTGGCTCCAGGGCTTGGAATCTGTAAAGGGCAATCCCGTAGGTCCCTGCTTCCTCACCACCCTCCTCCGGCCCTCTCTCCTCTTCTGCATGGGTATCTAATTCACCATTAACAATGCAATCCTCTTGATTTCCGGAACTTACGGACTCATCCACAGTCCTCAGGGGCCCCAAGAGCTCTACAAAACCTTCTGGAAAGATTCCTCTTCGGCCCTCTAACTCCCCTTCAAACCAGCCTGGTTCAGGAACTCCAATAATGGTAATCACGTCCCCTTCTCTGAAGTCCAGCTCCTCATCCAGCTGGGCAGAGAGCCCCATCAGTGCCCGCGCTTGACCCATCGAATAGTCAGGAATGTGGAGCTGGGTGCTCTGTGAATGCCACCGCCGGCTTCGGGAGGAGAGGCAGAGCTCATTCACACACGAGGACGGGAAAAAGCCCCGGGCACCCCAGCAGCTGCGACCCTGCAGCCAGCCTGAAGTGGGAGAGCCATCGAGGATCACTAGGTCACCTAAAGAGAGGGAAGCAAAGAAAACGGGCTTAGTCATCACCCCAGGTTCTACAACGACAGCACAGCTCAACACTTGTAACATCTGCCAAGTTCAAGAAGATACTCATTTAGAGCTGTTCAGGCATGAACACTTTTGACAATTTAGTGCCAATATAGTGAACATTCTGGTAAATCAGTGGTTTTCCAAGTATGATCATGGAATCCTTGGAGGGGGGATTAGTGGTGTTCCCCCAAGATCCTTTCAGAAGGTCTGTAAGGTCAAAAATATCATACCCTCTTCACATGCTTCCGTCAAAACAACATTGCAACAAAGTGAATGCAGACGCAAATGTGAGAATCTAGCTTTCCTCTATTAAACCTTGTTAAAGAGACTTGTAAAACTGTGAACTAACATCACTATTCTCACTAAGTTTTTCTTTGTTTCTAAATCTAGTTATTTTTTCTTAGAAAAACATCACTGAGTGGCCGTGCCCTGACCAGAGTACCACTTGCCAACACTCCCCCTGATCACAACCCAGAAACTCTCTGAACCCCCTACTTCTGTGATTTTTATGGGGGCTTTATCACACAAGCATGACTGATCATTAGCTCTACTTTCTGCCCTACTCCCTTATCAAGAGAATGGGGGAGGGGCTGCAAATTTCAAGCTTCTAATCAAACTGATCTTTCTGGTGACCAGCTGCCACCCAGAAATCTACCAAGAGTTGCCTCATTACACCAAAACATTCTTTTATCATTCAGTAGCTCACAAGGATTCCAGAAGTCCTGTGTCAGGAACCAGGGAGGGCAAAGACCAATACACATTTTCTATAAACTCATAACAAGATAGCGAAGCACTTAGCAAAATCATGCTTCACTTTCTAGGCAAGTATATTTGAAAACTGGATTATCTTTTAGGGTATCAACTTATACACCTTTGATTTTTTTTTAAATTAAATATGCTCTATCTTCCCACTAAGTGAATTACAGTTCCTTATTGGCAAGTATCACTTCTCTTTGGTGTTTCAAGAGTCTGGTACAACGCTTTTTGTAGAGCAAGTACTCAATGTCCATTTGCTAATGATGATGATTATTCAACTCCAACTCCCAGATAGATCCATTAAATTTCCCTCCAAAACTGGCTCTACGCCGCTAACTTCACCACCTCCAATTTCTACTTCTTCTTTTTTTAAAAGATGTATTTAAGCATACAAGAACTGGGGTGTAGGCCCAAGGTGTGGGGGGTGAGAAGATTCACCAGAGACAGATTGGGGAGCACAGCAGGCAGATCTACTGAAATACACTGCTGAGGGGAACAATGGGCAAGACAGGAGAGGTCTGCTGCGCCATGTGGGCCACCTCCCTCGACGGCCGGGGAAATCGAACTTCTGCTGCAGTAGCTGGCAATAGCTTGATAGCACTGTCTTTAACCCCTAAGCCACCAGGGAGGCCCCAATTTCTTCTTTTAATATATGTATTCCACGTATTACTCCTATTTGCCACCACTCTAGTCCAACTCCAACTATCTAACCCTTTCATGCCTTGTCCCTCATAAATTCTCTTCTAGTTTCCCAAATGACATTGCCAAGTTAAGATGATAAATGTGCCAATTTTATCATATCCTGTGCTCAAACTTTTTTTTAAAAAAAGATTTATTTAATGCATATAAGAACTGGGGTACAGGCCAGAGGTGTGGGGGTGAGAGGATTCACCAGAGACAGAGTAGGAAACAGAACAGGCAGACTGACTGAAATATACTGCTGAGGGGAGCAGTGGGCGAGACAGGAGAGGTCTGCTGCACTATGTGGGTAGCTCCCTGGCCAGGGATTGAACTAGTGCTGCAGTGGCTGCAGACAGCCTCATAGGTTGCATCTCAGTCTCAACCCCTTGAGCCACCAGGGAGGCCCCTCCCTTGCTCGAACTTTTAGCATGAGACATGAAGGTTTCTTTAAACTGTCAAAGCATTCTTCTCTAATAATCCTATTATTACCTGAAATTATACGAAATAAGTTTGCTCTGGAAGCTCTCTAAAGAGGTTAAACTACCAAAGGCTATTCTGATGCTTTTACCCATTGCAACTTGGCAATCATATCCAGCCAGGATCTCCTCCAGCTTCCCATATGGTGTCACCTCTGACACCCTCTTCCACACAAGGTATCATCCTTGTCTCCCATACAAGGCTTTCTACCTGAAACCTAAGCATGCTTCTCTTAAAAACCTTAAAAGCCCACTTTTAAAAAAAGATTTATTTTTATTTATTTATTTATTAAGAACCCCCCACACCTCTGGCCTGTACCCCAGTTCTTGAATGCATAAATAATCTTAAAAACAAAAAAAGAACTAAGATGTAGGTCAGAGGTGTGTGTGGGGGGGGGTGGGGGTGCTGTGAGAGGATTCACCAGAGACAGAGCAGGGAGCAGAACAGGCAGACCTACTGAAATACACTGCTGAGGGGAGCAGTAGGCGAGACAGGAGAGGTCTGCTGTGCCATGTGGGTAGAGGTCTGCTGTGCCATGTGGGTAGATCCCCTGGTTGGGGATCGAACTCATGTCACAGTGGCTGGTGATAGCTTGATAGCCCTGAGACTTTAACCCCTGCGTCACCAGGGAGGCCCTAAAAGCCCACTTTCATCTTTGCTGTCTGTAACCTACCAAAGAAATGACTATGTCACTAATTTTGGTAAACTACACAGTACCAAATGTAAAACTCTGCACTTAATATAGGTACAATTTTCTGTGCTTTGATACTGTGTTGCTTAGCTGTTCTTGAAAAATAGGGTCTTTGGTCCTATATTCCTTTAATTTATGACTCAAATCATTGATCAGAGCTTGGGGGCCTGAGAATTACAAGTGATTTTTCTCTCACTAGCTCTCAGGCCATCCTGTCAGGGCCACAGAGGGAACTCACTGGAGACATGGCCATAGTTCAGACATAATAATAGGTCTTTTCGTGAATACGAAGAATAAAAGCATGCTTGCTCCCTCTCTGTTGACATTAAAACAAACTGGCTTTCTTAAAATTGTGGAATTACAGTATTTTCCTTGTTTTTACAGCTTTCTTTGAAACCTTAATATAATAGGGCCTGTTTTCATATCTAATTTCAGCTGGTTATCATTTTGTTAGTTATTTCTATATAATAAAGGTGGAATTTTTAAAAGAAAGTCAGTGACACTAGTCACCTACACTGATCGTTCCAAAAGAGTCTTGCTTCTGATTTTAAATTAACTCAAAATACAAGGAACAGACCAAAATGACAGGACAGCTTTGGGAAGAGGAAAAGGGTGACACCTGCTGGAAGAACCACTGGTGATTCCCAGCCCAGAGAGAATCTCCCTGGAACAATATAAGCATAAACAAAATTTCACATAATTACTAGGGGAACCAGGTCCCCCAAAATATATCTATGAACTCTAGGAATCCTAGGTTAAGAATAACAAAAATAGGGCCCCCCTGGTGGCGCAGGCGGTTGAGCGCAGTGCTGTGAAGCTGTCCGCAGATCTGTAGTGCCAGTTTGATCCCCGCCGGCCTTGGAGCAACCCACATGGCAAGCAGACCTCTCCTGTCTCGTCCGCTGCTCCCCTCAGCAGTGAACTTCATCAGTCTGCCTATTCTGTTCCCGGCTCTGTCTCTGGTGAAACCCTCTCACCCTCCCGCGCATCTGGCCTATACCCCGGTTCTTGTATAAATAAAATAAATCTTATATAAAAAAAAAGAATAACAAAAATAGTTGATATTTATTGAGTACTAACCTTGTGCCAGATGTTTTACATGTATAGCCTCATTTAACCCTAACAACTATACTAATGTAGCTATTATTATCTTCTATTTGTAGATAAGGAAACTGAGCTGAGAGAATTTATTTCACTAGCCCAAGGTCATAGCTACTAAGTTGTGGAACTGTGCTATCAGAATTCTTATCCCCTAAGCTATACTGCCTAAACACAAACATATATGTACATGTGTGTACATGTGTATACACATGCATAGATACAGACTAAACATTTCTATATACACATACGTATAATTTTATAATTAAAAATATACATCTGTTTTTTCTTATTAATTCATTGATATTTCTGAAAGGTAAGTAAATAATTAAGTAAAAATTATTTAGCAGTTGGGGCCTCCCCAGTGGCGCAGTGGTTGAGTGCTGGGTTGCGAAGCTGCCCGCAGCCTCTGCAGCGCTGGTTCGATCCCTGGCTGCTCCTCGGCCACTGGGTGAGGGTCCCACATGGCGCGCAGACCTCTCCTGCCACCCGCTGCTCCCCTCAGCAGTGTACTTCATTCCTTCTGCCTGCTCTGCTCCCTGCTCTGGCTCTGGTGAATTCTCTCACCCTCCCACGCTTCTGACTGTACCCAGTGCTTGTATAAATAAATAAATAAATCTTTAAAAAAATTATTTAGCAGCATGGTGACGCACAACAGATATCAACATTGTCCCACACATTCTTAAGGCTCCCAAATCCCCCACTGACATGTATAAATTGACAAAGGGTTGTTGACACAGAAAAGGAGAAGCTACACTGTTGCACTGAAGGTTCTAAGAAAACATAAAGAAACCACAGAAGAGGATTAACAGTACCAGAACATGGGATAGAAGCAAGTGCATTACTCATGAGCTGAGAGAATGATATAGTGGAGGAAATAATTTTTACTCTAAGTAGAAAGACAATTCCTAATACGACACTTGAAAATCAGGGAGCCTCCATTCCAGTTTTATAAACTGTATGTGGTATAAAGCAAAACTTTAATTTCTTAGTGATTTTTATCTTCAAATAAGAAAATGAATATCTGTTAACAGGATTATCATGTGTAAGAGGAATCAGAATCATTTCTCTGTCTTATACTAAACTTTCCAGAAAAAGACAAAAGAAAAAAGCTATGGAAAGAGCTAACTTCCTCATCCTCAGGGATGTGAGCTTCCAGATCAGAAGAGATGTGAAGAGCAAAGAAGGAAAAAGAGCTGAACAGTGAGTGTGTTTATTGGCAATGGAGTAACTGAGAAGAGAGAAAGGCAGGTCTGTCTAGTCCCTTCCCTTCATCTCCTCTGCCCTGCCTCCACTTCCCTTGGGCTCCACTTACATCTGCAGGCTCATTAGGTACAATTAGTTAAAAGCTGGTTGAGATATGATCTATAGATCCCATTACCCAGGCTGATCTTGAGTCAGTCTTGGCAGTCATGAGTCACACCTGAAAGGCCCACAGCAGGGTCTTTCTGATAATCCCTTATGTGGTCCTGCCATTCCTGAGATGGGTTTTAACTTCAAAGGCAAGTGCAAAACACATTAGGTCAGTCTTGCCAGGGAAGGCATTCAGCAGAAATTTTCTTTTGTTTTTTAGTGCCTTAGACTTGACTAGTAATTATGAAGCAATAAAGCTAATTCTGGAGAAGCCACACCCTCAAATTCTTCAAATGTAGGCACAAGCTCATAGTCCCACGAGTATATTCTTATACCCTCTATTTGCTCCAGGAAGCAGGTGTAGGAAGGACAGGTCCACCCACACCCCCTGCAGGAGCCAGAGGAGCCACGGTGCCAGGCCTTTCTCCTCTGGTGACGTGGACTGGAGCTGTCCACTGGGAGAGCTGTTGAATAGGCACAGGTAGGTTCCCGCTTTAAGAGCTTCGCTGTTCTGTCTTCCTTCCCCACACTCATTAGCAAGGAAGTTCACAGAACTGAGGGAGAAGCAGAGTGTAAAGTGAAGTGCAAGGAACTCTCAAAATAGATTTTGAGGATTAAGGTCAAAATTCAATATCCCTTTCTTTTTGTTGACTAAGAGTTAGGGAAGTTGGGGTTTCTCTCTCTTTCTCATCTGTGTACATGGTTTGAGAAATCAAGCCTATCCCTCTAGTGTCATGCTCATAGAGCAAATAAAAATACGGTAGATTAAAGCTGTTAAACATACTCAGCAAGTTCTACTGTTTTGATGACTGTTCTTAGTTGTCACGATATTGCAATGGTCATCTCAGTTGGGAAAAGGACACTTCTGGTTTCTGTGCGTATGCAGAAATGTATGGACTTAATTAAGTATGAGTGTTAAGACATCTCTAGAAGCCACAAGTGGAACTCTAGAACTGCTTTTGTCATGCATACTGCATTTTGTTCTTATTCTAGATTCAAGGTGCCTAATACTGTCCTAAGTTGTATAGGCTCAGTATAATGCAGTTCTGTCTTGTTTGTGCTTTCTAAATTCAGTATTGATGAGCTGACTTCTGTTATAGAAGTCTTAAGTCTCAGCAAAGAAGAAATGAGAAATACATGGAATATCACTGAGCTACAGCTATGACTATCCATTTTCAATCACTTCCTTAAACTGGTTTTGATGAGAATTTTAATTACTTTTCTCTAATGGTACAGCAGTACATGAGGTACAGTAGTACAGTATAGTAGTACATAAGTAGTAACATGTACACAGATGAGAAAGAGAAACCCCAACTTCCCTAACTCTTAGTCAACAAAAAGATGCTGTTTTGCATGTGTCTCTTAATTCCCACACTACAATTCCTGCTCTAATATTATGCATTGACAATAACGCTGTCAGCAAAGTCATATCAGTTTTTATGGGAAAAAAAGATAAATGTAGTCTAAAGTATGGCTACAGCTTGGGGTAGTGGAAAGAGAATGCACCGCTTAGAATCAGGGAATGTGATTTCACATCCTGAGGCCAAAACTTCTTACCTTTGAATTTCATTTTCATTATTTAGAAAATTCACTTAACAATCCCCACCCCGCTACCTCCCAGGTCTGTGTTGAAGATCAAATGAGAATGTATCTGTGAGAAAATGCTGTGGAAAGTATAAAATGCTACTAAAATACAAGGCAGTAGCAGTGAATGCTGTTCTAGCTGAAGACTCTCTAGAGGACAGAGAAGCTAAAACAATTCATTTATGAAAATTCAAAATAAGATCTAGCGGTCAACACAGGCAACTCCACCAACCCGACTTTAAAAAGCTCTCTTGTGGAGGATCCACTCACCTCGGTGCAGGGGAAGACTGTTTAGTTCGTGGGATGTAAAGTCAGAGATGCAGATGAACAGCCTCTCTCCCTCTTTCAGGCTGGGAATGGTCACAATTTCCACAAAACTGCTGGGGAACTGTCCTGAAAATAATAAGGAACATTTCCAATGTTGAGATTTTTCTTTCTGTGGACCAGGACCAAAAACTTCTTTTCTGAACCTACTTATTAAGCCCTAAACTGAAAACTCACTGAATTCATATTAAGAAAAAGTTGATGCTTGTGGAATTAGATGCTTGCAGAACACAGAGAATACAACTCCATGCACAGGCGTGTACTAGGTAGCACCACGCAATGCACTCTGCAGAGGGAAAAGCGAGAGAGATGGCCTTGGCCCTAAAAGATCTTAAAATCCAGTTCAGACACAAAATCTAATTTAGATATGAACAAAAATTCAATTCTGAAGTCAAGCGTCTCACAGAGGTACATACGTTGCTATGGAAGTTCAAAGAAGGTAGAGAATGAGCCATAAAAACTTTTGTGAAAAAGATAGTATTCGAGTATGAAGTAGGGTTACAATAGGTAGTAGACAGACAGAACCTGCTAGTTGGGAAGCATAACAAACTGTCACTGGTTCCACTAAGTATCTCCTGCATCTGTCCACTGACCTCCAGGTCCACCACCTTGGGCCATCAGCATCTCCCACCTGGATCGCTCAAGAACTTCCTATCCTGCCTCCTGCCTTTTATTCTGTCCCTGCCTGTTATTCTTCAGTTTTCCATAGTGAACTCTCTATAATACAAAGCTGATTGTGCGTAAAGCACAACTGTGGTTTCTCACTCCCTTAATTCCTTACCCTGATAGACTGTCCTCCAGGATCTAGCTTCTGCTCATCACCCAGCACCATCTTCTCATCCCCGACCATGCCTAGTTCATGCCATACTGAACTCTTCCCAGGTCCTCTGAGGTCTTTCTCTTTCATTTCTGGGCATCTGATTAAGCAATTCTCCCTCCTACCTTCTGGGCTTTGCTAACTCCTAGTCATCATTTTATCTCAGCTGAGACATGACTTTTCCTGGGAAGTAATCTATTATCTCCCAAATGTGGGTTACATATGAAGACTCTGTTCTAAGAACTGAACAACATACTCCAGCCCAGATTTACATAAATATATGTAAGATAAGGATTGGATTATCAAAGGTATAGAGAGTATGTGAAAAACTTCCACCCTAAGCCACTAAATGAAAGACATTGGTGCTAACATGTATTTAAAAGAACAGAAGAAAGGAAACCAGATACGTGGACAGTGGGAGGTAGGTAGCATCTAGCGCAGATGGTAACCTTAATAAAATCAGGCCAACCATGGATCTAGGAAAGAATGAACCATGCTCCCTCAAAGCAAATGAAAGAAAAGGTAGAAAATGTTAAAATAGTCAGAAAACACAGGTAGAGAGCAACTTTTGTTCCACTAGTCAGAGATAAAAACTGGTAATGAGAAACAAGGGCAAACTATAGGGAGTTCTGAAAGTGGAAGGTATATTTGCAGAAGAGAACAGTGCTGACTACAAAGGATAAAGACCTGGGAAAGGAAGGGAAGGACAGATTCAAAAACTTGGGAGGGGGCACCTGGCATCTAACCATTTCAAAACTTTAAGAACCAACAGGAGAGATGGGGTGATAAGGGACATTCTCTCTTGGATGGCAGAGACCACAAGGAAAGCACAAGGGATTCTAAAATGGATTAACTTGGGCTTCCCATTTAACCTTTATTTATTAATTTTTTTAAAGATTTATTTTATTTATTTATGCACACAAGAGCTGAGGTGCAGGCCAGAGGGTGGTATGTGTGAGAAGATTCACCAGAGACAAAGTGGGGAGAAGAACAGGCGGATCCAATGAAATACACTGCTGAGGGGAGCAACAGGCAAGACAGGAGAGGTCTGCTGTGTGGTGTAGGTCAGGTCCCTGGCTAGGGATCAAATTTATGCTGTGGTGGTTGTGGATAGCTTCATAATACTGAGATTTAACCCCTTGAGCCACCAGGGAGGCCCTTAACCTTTATTTTACTGCTGAAAGCAGGGTGGGCCCATGGTCCATTTTGCACACAAGGAATTGTGAGCCTCTTACCTGTCACATCGTCTTTCTTTCCGAAAAGCCAAAATTCATCCACCACTGCCAACACCTCAATGATATCTCCCACAAAGAGTGGCAGTTCTTCTGATACACTGGGGCAGAAGTCAAAGATGGCTCGAACCACTGAGCCAGCCTCCATGGTTAACCTGCAAAGAAAGGTCAAAAGGCACAAGAAAGCATAAATCCTGGGGTCACTGTAATAGAGATCTCTAGCTTGAGAATGACACCGCTTAACAGACAGAGGTAATTATAATGAAGTCAAAGCTAAGCAAAAAAGAAGTCTGTATTTTATACTTTAAAAAAAACAAAATACAGGGCCTCCCCTGGTGGCGCAGCGGTTGAGCGCTGGGCTGCGAGGCTGCCCGCAGCCTCTGCAGCACCGGTTTGATCCCCAGCCGCCTGCGAAGGTTCCACAAAAATAAATAAATAATAAATAATAAAAATAAAAAAACAAAATACTATCTCATTTACTTTTTAAAAATAATCATTTCCTTATACATTTTTTTCATGTGATTCTCAAATTGATTCAGGAATTTAAAGAAAAAGAAAGAGACCTGTAGCTGTGGTCGACAGAGAAGATGCAAGTTGGGGAACATAGGCTTTTCAGTAACTTTAACGGGGCAGTAAGGAAAATAACATTTTTAAAGTACCACACAACACGGTACTTTTAAAATATGGTACATTGTAAGACACATTATATACCTCCCTGGTTTCTTCAACAGAAGACACTAAATATGATTTACTCTTTGGCTGATGGGCACAAGTTCATTATTAAGACCATATATTTACTGCATTGTATTACATAATATCAGTGTTGTACAATTTTTAGGTTTTCTCTTTTGATGTCAGCCTTCTTCTGTTACCAATTTATCTCCCCTGTCAACTTTCATTACCTTCTTTCTAGATTGTTGTTTAAGATATTCTGGGGGAAAGGGACCAAACACACACAACTAAAGTTATTGAAAGTTCCCAAATAAAAACCAAACAAGATCGGAGAGGCTAACAAAGTCTGTGGTGGTAAGCACATGTGGTAATACTGGAGTTTTTCAATAGTTATTATTTTTTTTAATGTGCTCTGAGGCCCCTTTCTTAATTCCTGGCTATCTTCCAGTGAGCTAATGTTGCCAGATGTCGGATTTCCACATAAGGATGTTGTCATAAATTTTTTTTCAAACAAACATAACATTTTACAAACCTTAGTCATCTATACATTATTACCATAATGTATAAAAGGTGGATGACTTTTTTCTTTTTTCAAATTCCATTTCACAATCAGACCAAATATATGCTCATTAACTAAAATATCACGTAAAGAATCAGCATAAGCTTCTTAGGGTTACAGAGCTCTCCTGTCACGCTGAGGAACAGAGTTTGTGATCTGAAGGAGTTAAAGCTTCTCCCTGAGAATCTTCTTGCTCTACCAGAAAATGACTCAGAAGCAGAGGAGGGTCTGGCTCAACAAACGCTTTACTGACTGACCTCCCACCCTATCGGAATGAGTGCGTAATCGCTGAGGAACACACACCCTGGACAGCGCTGAAGTCAAGCCTGGCTAAATTTCAGGATTCATGCGCTGAGGCCAGGAAGGAGATCTTAAAGCCCTCTGTTTTATTATGTGCAATATCATGGATTTCATCTCAATCTTCTCTGTTCTGTGCACACTATGAAAAGCAACTATTATTCTTCTCATTTGAGTCATTTTAGAAGCTTGGACATATATTTTGAAACGTAATCAGAAATAGCTTATATAAGCTGTTCCACCAACTCCAGATGGAAGTAAAAAGAACAGCAGAGGAAACCAGACCACAGATGGGCTAGAGAGAAAACAGAGGAAAAAACAGCCTTCATGGCACGATGTGAGGGAAACAGAAAAGTCTGCTGTGAAAACAGCACCTTCTCTTGCTGGTGAACACCTGTGTTTCCAGTTTGGGAAGTCATTCTTCATTTGACATGTAAATAGTCTTAATTCCTCAAATGCTTTTGCAATGTAGAACCCTTTGAGGGAAAGGATTTTTGTCTGTTGTGTTGGTTGTCTAGAGCAATGCTTTGCTCAGAAAATGCTCTCAGGTTTTCAGTGAGCAAATGACTTGTTGAAAATCCATGAAATTGTTCATATCAAAATCTCTATCACTGCTTATGTAAGGCTAAATTAACCAGCTCCTCACTACCAATAGATTTACCTCCCAGCTTCTACAACAGAGTCATATAAATCTTTCAGGTCAAACGTTATTTTCTCAGACTTCATCCTCTGCAGTCCACAGGAGTAAGCAGAGGGTGACAGCTACCATTTGAGTCTATCCTGTGCCAGACACTGAGCCAGGAGCTGGAGACACCACCACACTGCAAGGCAGGGGGCAAGGGGCTGGAGTCAGGGTTCAAATCCCTGCAACACCCCTGAGCAATACACGGAACTCTCCAGTAAAGAAGTGGCTAAGTCAGAACCACAATTCAGGCTCATGTCCTCTTTCTATGAAAATCACTTCTTATTGGAATTTCCTTCAAAATCTTGCAGCATTTCATTTTCTCCTCATTGGTTCACCAACATTTTACAATGAAAATTTACAAATAGCAAAGCTAAAAGACCTTTACACTCACCTGGATTCTACCATCAACATCTTGCCACAGTTACTTTATCACATATCATCTCTTTATCCACTCAACAGTCCATGGTTTTTTTTTCCCCCCTCTTTCAATACACTGTAAATATTTAATTTTGTTTTATTTTGGATGCATTCCAAAATAAACCATAGTTTCTTCCTCCCCCGAGTATTTCTATAGACATACCTCCCCTGAGTATTTCTATAGACAGACAGATACAGTTATCTTAACTAGAGTAAATATGTTTAGAGGTTTTTTGGGGCTTTTTGGGTTTTGCTTTTGGCGAATACCATTTGCCTCTCTTGATCTAGATACAATTCTTTTCTCCTCCTTTTCTGTCAGTGAAATTGGCTAATTTTGTAAATTGCTAATTTTTTTTTAATAATGAATTTTTTTTTAAGATTTATTTATTTATTTATACAAGCACTGGGTATAGTCAGAAGCACAGGAGAGTGAGAGAATTCACCAGAGCCAGAGCAGGGAACAAAACATGCAGACTGACAAAGTACACTGATGAGGGGAGCAGCGGGTGGCAGGAGACGTCTGCTTGCCATGTGGGACCCTCGCCGGGATCGACCAGCGCTGCAGAGGCTGGGCAGCTTTGCAGCGGGTGGCAGGAGACGTCTGCTTGCCATGTGGGACCCTCGCCGGGATCGAACCAGCGCTGCAGAGGCTGCGGGCAGCTTTGCAACCCAGCACTCAACCACTGCACCACCAGGGAGGCCCCCTGTAAATTGCTAGGTTTTACTTATTACTCAGCAGCTTAAGAATTTACAAGGTCCTTCTATTTTCTATAATCATTCACATATTCAAGAAATATTTATCAAGCCTAAGAATCATCTGAATTCCCGTGCAGGCTAAAAACTGTATTGGTAGGCTAATCATTCGATGACCTTTTAACCCAATATTTTTAAAACATTTATTCGCTAATCCTGTTGGTGGCTGACGGTACTATTTAAATTCTCCTTTATTGTCCTAAGCAATTCAACTCCTTTCCCAAAGTATCCATCCTACTTAGAAAAAAATAAAACCTTGCAGACAAACTCACCACTAATCTTAGAAGAGGGTGCTCAGGTTTGTCTCTCAGTGGGGGTGGGGAGAGGAAAGACATTGATTCTTAAATCTGCAGTGGTTTTTTTTCAGTGTGTCAAGAGTAGACTATATCAACATTTTCTATGGGCTAAGGCCCTTGCCAGCTGCCTTTTAAAAAAAATAATATTTATGTATTTTTGCATACAGGAGCTGGGGTACAGGCCAGGGATGCAGGGGGTTGAGAGGATTCACCAGAGACAGAGTGGGGAACAGAACAGGTAGACTGACTGAAATACACTGCTGAGGGGAGCAGCAGGCGAGACAGAAAAGGTCTGATGCACCATGTGAGTCAGCTCCCTAGCCAGGGATTGAACTCATGCTGCAGTTCATAGCTTCATTGTGCTACATCTTAACCCCCTGTGCCATCAGGGAGGCCCTGCCAGCTGCCTTTTAATGCACTTTTACTCCCATGATATATGAAGAAACATTCAAAAATGTTGCGTGGGGGATAAGTCATTTTCCCAAAACATGTTCTGAAGACGCCAATTATTGTGTTCCAAAATATAAGCATTCCACGGTCATTATAAACTTGGGAAGCTAAAAACTATATTTCCTCCTTAGGAGGGCATAAAAAACACTAGTGTGTTAAAGACTGAGACAGTCCACCCCAAGCCCTTTTAATCCAGCTTTTCTAGATCTGTCTGGCCAGAGAACTTATTTCCAGTTATATTTCAGAATTTTTTTAAACTTCATCTCTCCAGAAAGCTTGCTGCTCCCATGAAACACTTTCTGTCCAGAACTTGTTCCTTGTTGACATGCTGTTTCCTTCAACCATGATGGGCTCCCCTGTTTTTCCACATATTTAATGCTTCTCACTCTCTCCCACCTCACATACTCAAGCCTACCTCCACCTTTCATGTCTCAGCTCCAGGATTCCTTGATTTTTATATCACCTAGTAGAGATGTAGGACATGTAAAATTTAAGCCATGAGAATGAATGTATTAATGAAAATATATTCAGAAATAAGATAACATTTAAAAAGGTATCTGATCAACTCAAGTGTCCATCCATACAAAAACAAAATGTGTATACATATAATGGAATATTAGCCTTAAAAAAGGACATTGTGACACATGCTAGAACATGGACAAACTTTGAGGACATTATGCCAAGTCACAAAAAGATGAATCCTGAATGATTTCACTTCCATAGCAAGAGAAGTCAAACTCATAGAATCAGAAAACAGAATGATAGTTGCCAGGGGCTGGAGTAGGAGGTGAGCACAGAGTGTCTGTTTGGGAAGATGAAAATTTCTGAAGACAGATGGTAGTGGTGGTTGAACAACAATGTGAATTATTTAAATGCCATAGAATTGCACACTGAAATATGGTTAAATTGATGAATGTTATAGTACATGTATTTGCCACAATAAAAAAAGCTTTTTTAAATATATATATATCAGAAAATGTGACAGAATGTAAAAGACCTGGGCAATGTCAGTAGTTTTTAATAAGT